TTTGGTTTTGAAAGAGGTCTTTATATATTAAGCCTATTATTCTTTGTCTTGGAATCTGTAAATGTTTTTTTTTTTTTCCCCCCAGTTTTTCATTTGCATTTTAACTTTGAAGTTTTTTTTTTCTTTTTTCCATACAGATGTTTTAAACCTTATATTTTCATCATTATCTTTTATGCTTTGAAAGGTGTTCCCCATTCTGAGTTCAGCTAAATAGTTTTCTCTTGTTTGTTTGTGATTTTATTCATTCACATTTAATTCTTCACCCAAATGAATTTAGTTTTTAATATGGTGATGAGAGATCCCATTTGATTTCCTTCCTTAATAGTTAACTATTTTTTAGCACTAATTATTGAATAATCCACCTAACACCCCCAATGATGTGGGTTTCTACTTTCAGCATATATATTGGGCCTGTTTAGAGACTTTCCATTTCATCCATTGTTTTATTAGCCTTTCCAAATCATGCTATACAAGATTATGTTTTAATATCTGGCAGTTCAAGTTTCTCTTTCTCTCTCTCTCTCTCTCTTTTTTTTCCCTCAAATCTTCTTGCCTTTTTTCTTTACATGCATGACATTCTCACATTATTTAATTTATTTTGGCATGTTCTCCCCTTTTCATACCTGCCTCCAATTTCTTGGGATTTTATTTGAATCCTTTCATTATATTATAAAGTTAATTTAATGGAAAATTTTCATACTGAACCTTTCTACTCAGGAACATAGAAGGTTTCTAAATTCGTTCAAATAAATTTGAAGTTTATCTTTGGATGAACTCTTGTTTTGTTTTCTTTTGGTGTTAAGAATTGAGTCCAGAGCCTTGTACATACTAGGCAAGTACTTTCCCACTGAACTACATCCCCAGCCCTATGTTCTGTTTTAATTTTGACAAAGCTTTGGTATTATTTTCAGTGAGATCTTTTTCTTGTTGGGTCTTCTGACTTAGTATCGCTGCTAGGTGGCTATTAGTTTCTGCATTTTCTTGTTATTACTCTGCCAGTGGTATTGGCTAACACAAGTTTTCAAAAATTTTCTTTGGAGCTTTCTCAGTAGACATTTATATGGGTCTGAGACTGATACTTTTGCTTGTCCTTCATAATAATTATGCTTCTCTTTTTTGTTAGTTACTTTGTATGCGACCTTGTGTTTTGGTGGTAACTGGAGCAATGCCTCTAGTCACTCATCTCTAAGTGGAAGATTGGGTGTCAGTAACCTTTTTACTTTATTAATTATTGCTTTTTTTCTTCTTTTTTTAATCAGAGAGGGTGTTGAATTTTTATCAGGTATCTTTTAAGGAACCATTCATTGGGGGTGATTGCATGATTTTTCTTCTTTAATTTGCTATAGTAATTTCTTAATTTTTTAATCTTAAGTTCTAGAAATTCTAAGACTGTTAGAAATTATCTAATTTCTCAAGGTAGATTATTCCTTGACATTTTTATTAGAATCGTTTATTAAAATTTTATTTGGAGGCTTTCCACCTCCGTTCATCCCTGAGATTTCTCCATAGCTTTGCTCTATTTTTGTCAACCTTGGGCTCAAGGCTAAGCTAGTTTTATGAAGTAAATTGAAGCACTTTCCAACTTCAGGGGCAGACTGCGTAGCCTGGGAATTATCTGTTCCATGAGTGCAGGAAAGAGCTTGACTGGGAAACCAACGAGGTCTGGCATCTTCCTTGAAGTCATTCTTTGATGACTTTTTCAGTTTTTTTCCACCCATAATTATTGGTTTGTTCAACTTTCCTGATTCATCTTGAGTCAGTTTTGTTAATTCATTTTTTTTTTCTGAGAAAATCGTTTCATGGGATTTTCAAATTTATTGGTGTATAGATTTTATTTTATTTATTTTTTTAGAGAGAGAGAGAATTTTTAATATTTATTTTTTTAGTTTTCAGCGGACATAACATCTTTCTTTTTATGTGGTGTTGAGGATCGAACCCGGGCCGCACGCATGCCAGGCGCGTGCACTACCGCTTGAGCCACATCCCCAGCCTGGTGTATGGATTTTAAATAGCATTATCATTTTTTTCAAATTTGTATAATTTTTCTCACTTAAAATTTTTTGTGTTTATATGTTTTTTGGCAATATTTTTCCTTGACTAGCTTGAACAGTTTTGTTTTTTAACTTTTGGTTTTCAATTTACTTTCCACAGAATAGCTTCTTGGATTTATATATTATATTTATTTATTATAGTCCAATATACTGTATTTTCTAATATTAATTTCTGTTTTTAACTTAATATTAACTTTTTTCTATTATCTGCTCTAGATATTTTTACATTTTATTTATTTATTCATTTATTCATTCATTCATTTATAGCTTTTCAACTTGAAAGCTTAGTACATTTGTTTTTTATTTAATTTTATGTAGTGCTAGGGCAATGCTCAACCACTAAGCTAAACCTTTAGCCCTAATGCATTTATTTTTATCCTTTCTTGTTTAAATAATGAAAACATTCTTGCTTTGAATTTGTCTTTTTTTCCTCTCTCTCTGGGTATTTAAAATTTTCTTTTAAAGTACATAAATTTGAAGTTTCATAGCTCAACAAATATGTATACATATTCACATCTGTGTAATCTCTTTTTGGATCAAGATACAGAACATTTCCTGCATTTCCAGGAAGTTTCTCATGTTTCTTGCATTCAATATCCCCTTCCCCAGCCCTGAGATAACCACTATTCTGACTTTTGTCACTACTGATTAGCTTTGCCTATTGAATTTCATATCAGTTTTCTTGTGCCTGTTGGCTCATCATTTCATATCCATGAATTTCATCCCTGTGTTTGCATGTATCACTAGTGCTGGTTTTTAAAATTTGGTTATACTATTGTTAATTTATGAATAGACCACAATTCACTTACCATTCTTGCATTGATAGACTTTGGGTTGTTTCTAGTTCTTGGCCTTTATGAACAAAATTGCCGGGTACATTCTTACACACATATTTGGAGGTGTCTTAGTCCTGCATCTCTATTGGGTGTATATATATATATATTCAGGAGCTTCGGCTCATAAGGTGCATATGTGTTTAGCATTAATAGTTTCCATTAGTTTTCTATTGTACAAATTTGTTATCCCATAAATTTTGCTATATTCTCCTCGCTGTTTGTAATTACTGTTGTGATTTTCTCTTCCAGCCCAGGGTTATTTAGGAGAATGTTTTCCAGTGGTTATGTTGTTTGTGATATTGGTTGCAGCTGTTGCTGCCTCTGCCCTTACTGGCACTAGCTGTAGCACACTGTATGTGTGGTTGGGTTGGGCAGTAGGCACATCAGATTAGAATCTGATGGAAAATGTAGATTGTAATAGGGCAGTGGGCTGCTTTTTCTTAGAAAAACAAATCTAGAATGACAGTAGCATAGTCTGTGTATATAATATTCTGATCATGTTTCATAAAGCCTTCTGTTTAGAGCAAGGCTATTTCTAGATATATGATTATGTTGCATAGAGAAGTGGTTAATAACATGTAAACTTTGGAGCCAGACTTCCTGGATTTGAATATTGATTCCATCAGCTTTGTGACATTGGACAGTTATTTAACCTCTGTGCTCTTGTTTCCTTATCTGTAAAATGTTTTGAGATTAAATGAGCTAATGACAGTACGTGGCACATGTAAGATATTGTAAGAAGTAGTAGTAGTAGTACTACTACTACTACTACTACTACTATTACTAGTAATAGTAGCAGCAGCTATCTCCTCTGATATATTTCTTCCCAAAGATTGAAAGGTTTGAGTCCCAGATATGGACAGCAGAGTCCCTGATTTCTGCCTGGTGTCGACCTTCTTGCTTAAATGGGAGGCAGTCCTGAATTGGTTCTAAGAGAGAATTCCAAGATTGGACAAATGCAAAAGCTTTGGTGAACATAGAGCACGGAGGCTGTCATTGACTCAGGACATTTCAGCACCATAGACCATAGTCTTGGTTCCTTGCTCTGTCTCGAGCTGTGAAGCCGGAAATGCTTCTAGAGAGGTGTCCAAGTATGAATACAGTTATGTAGGGTAAGTGGGTCACAGTATGTTAGGAACTTCTCCCTGTGGCCTGGTCTTTCTGAAATAGCTTTTTTAAAGGAAAGAACGTAATGGGCAATGGTTGTCCTAACTGGCACTCTTCTGTTCCATGAACATGATTTGTTCTTTCATTTGCTCCCTTGTTTCCTCTGGGTGGACTTGCAAGTTGACTGGGAAACTCAGCTGGCCTTTCATGCCTTCCCTTGGCAGAGGGAGGCAGTGATGGAGGGTTTTGCTGCAGTCTGGCACTTGTGTCTGGTCAGCTGTGGCTGGGTTTCTGCAGGAACATTGACCTGGCTAGACTGGGGAGAGGACTAGACCAAAAAGTACTGATTAGGTTCCTCGGGATAGCTATGGACATCTCTTTGTAGCAGCCAGTTTTTGAGGTTGCATATTGATAGTTAAAACCTTTTTTTTTTTTTTTTTTTTTTTTACTGTCATAGAAAATGATGAATTAAACAGAATTTATTTCCAAGATCTTCAAAGATTATTCCAAACACGAAGTATCCTTCTAAAAGTATCCCACATTAAATCAAAGGCACATCATCAAAGTCAAACACTTGTGACATGAAGAATTCTTTTAGGTCATAATTTTTTCACATTACTTTGTTTTTAATCATTTGCAATGCTCTGTATGTAGGTCCTACTTTAAACATTTTTTTAAAGGCATGAAATAATGTAGTATCTTTTTAAAAGTGCAACCACAAAGTAAAGGAACTTAAAAATGAGTTCAAATCTGCTTCTTACATAAAATGAGACAACCTAATATATATCATAACATGAATCTTCCTAAACAACACCTCTTGTGTTAAATAAAATAATCTTCTTATTTAGAAAAAATCAAGGCATCATTTGATTAGTAAAGTCTATTCTTCCCCCACAATTTTATACTTTCTTATCTTCATTTAGTAATTATAAATTTATGATAGAACAAATTTTATTATAGTATAAAAATCTTAGGAACAACAAATTACAAATACTCCATTTTTTTAAATAAACAAAAGTGTTTTCCTTCCTAAAATGTAAACATCCAGTTAATAAAACATACATGATATTCTAGGTATAGCAACACCAGTAACTCACTTATTAAAGAGGTGTATTTTAGTATATTGGTGGTAAGGTTTTTATCTTAATACAAAGCACTTCTTCAGGAGAACTAAGCCATTATTACTTAAAACAATTCTATTTCTTCACTCAGTTTCCTTATTTGAGTAGAAAATCATTAATTTCTGTAGAATTTTGGCTGTAAGATCAGGACACTGGAAAGGTCTGAAATATCTCAGTCATTTGGCTAAAGAAAAGTGTTTTCTTGAGACTTGGAGTCAGTCATTCATTACTTTGTGCTCGAAGGCATTTCTCAACAAACTTCTTCCAAGTCTTCAAAGTAAAATGCAGGATCTGGGCTCTCGGAAGGGGTTGCTTCCGGCTGGAACTCCAACCAGCAGAGCATCCTTACAGGCATTCTGCATGCAGTACTGCTGAAGCTCTGCCGCAGCCTGAGAGACCTTGATCCTCTCCACGCTGGCCTCCAGCTTGAGCTGCTCCACCAGGCGCTGCAGGGCACTCACGCTGGCCCCGGAAGACATGGCGGCGGCGGCGCTGGCTCCCCTTTTTTTTTTTTTTTAAAAAGGGGAAGTTTTAAGCTGCATCTTCATCACTTGGCTTTACAAGTTATCAGTGTGGTTCCTGTTTGCTTGCTTTCTGGGTGACTTTGATTTCTTTCTGAACTGGTGGCCCATAGGGTCCAAGACTTGATGTTCCCGGTAGTTCCCCTCTCCTGCAGCTGGCCTTCCTGTCAGTGCAGACGATAGCACTAGCAGATTCTGTTCCTTTTAGGAGGGAAATATAGCTAGAATAGATTAAAAAAAAAAAAAAAAAAAAAAAAAAAAAAACTTCTTTAAGATAATTTCAAATTCAGAGAAAAATTATAACAATAAAGAACTACTCTCTACCCTGCATCCAATTGTTAATATGTTGATACAGTTGCTTTCACATTGTTTCCATCTGTACATACCTATAATTGTTTTATGAATCGTTTTTAGTGTGAATTACAAATCTTGTGGTTCTTCCTCCCTAAATACATAAGTATCTATTTTTGAAGGAGGATAGTCCCTGCTCTTATATAGCAAAATAGAATTAACCAAATCAAGAAATTTAACATTTTTTACAGTGGTGTAATCTAATTCAGATTTACTGATTGTCCCGACAATGCACTTTAAGTGAGTCCTCCCTGCTCCAGTCCGGGATCACTTGCAAGGTATGCAGGCCAATTTGTTATCATGTTTCAAATCTGGGTTAGTCTCTCAGACTGTATCTTTCATGACTTTGTCATTGTTGAAAAGTATAGGTCATTTTGTACAATCCCCTCAATTTGGGAGTGCAAGATTATGTATTTTCCATAGAAACACTCAGAAGGGATGTTACCTGTCTCAGTGCATCATATCAAGACACACATGACTCAGATGACATTAACTTTAATCATTTGGTTGAGGTGTCAGATTTCTCCAATACACAATTACTCTTTTTCCTTTGTAATTAAAAAGTAATTTATGAGGAGATACTTTGAAACTATGTTCCACTAGGTTTTGCATTCAATAATGATTTTACTGTGATGGTGGCAGATTCTTTCGTTTCTTTGTTCTAGCTTCATCATTCCTTTTGTCCTCACTAGTTGGCACAGTACTGCAAGGAGTTTTCCCTCTTCCTTGGAACTTGCACATAGGTGTGTGTTGTCAGGCTCAAGTCATAGATTCTTATTTTATTCAGAGGAATATGATTTATAAATGCCTTTGGTTTATTGCTAATATTATTCCTTGTACCATCTCTTGAAGAGGATAGAGAGGAACGTATTTATTCTTTTCAGGGATGGGTATCTCTTTGAGCTCACTCCTATATCTTTTGAGGTGTCTCCATCGTGTGTGTGTGTGTGTGTGAGAGAGAGAGAGGAATTGAACCCAGGGGTGAACCAAGCACTGCGCCACATCTCCAGCCCTTTTAATTTTTTATTTTTGGACAGGGTCTCACTAAATTGCTTAGAGCTTGCTAAATTGCTAAGGCTGGCTTTGATCTTTTGATCCTCCTGCCTTAGCCTCCTGAATCCCTGGGATTATAAGTGTGTGCCACCGTGTCTGGCTGCATCATATGTTTTTGTTCAACTGTAAGCCACTATAGACAGGACTTGCTGTATGGCAAAGGTAGTACTAAAAATTAGAGGAAAAAAAGCATAGGAATGTCACTGGGATCGTCAGCTAACCTAGTGGTTTGCAAAGTATGGTCCTGGGACCAGCAGAAAGTGCATCTCCTGGAAGAAATTTAAATTCTCAGGCCTATTCCAGACCATAGATTCAGGAACTGGGGGTGAGGCCCAGCAAGCTGTGTCTTAGCTATCATTCCAGGAGATTGGGATGAGCTCAAGTTGAAGAATCACTACGCTAACCAGTTGAGAAAAAATAAAGTCAGATACCTTCCTTATATCAACATGTGTCATGGGGTCTTGGGGCTCCTGTTATTCAGGTGTTTGTTTGGTGACCAGAGACTTAATCCTCTCCTCAGCAATTTAGACAACTTGCTGAGAACAGTACTCCCACTGCCTTAAATCCTGAGCCATGGAACCAACTGGAAATGCAGCTTCCTCAAATGCACCAATTTTGCCTTTCCTCCTTGTTATTTAGTTGTTTAAGCATTTAATTCTTGAATATATCTGGAGTTCATTTTGGGATAGGGATCTAATTGTGTTTTTCCTTACTGGGCTTTACACATTCTCATTGTTTTCATTGGAGGGAGAGTCCACAGCAGTTGGGATGTTTAAGAACATTTTTGGCTCTTTCTGATGGGCTTTGTTTATTTATTTATTATTTTTGTGATACTGGAGGTTGAACACAGGATGCTCTACCACTGAGCTATAGCCCTATCCCATTTTATTTTTTATTTTGAGATAGGGTCTCGCTAAGTTGCTCAGGTTGGCCTCCAAACTTGGAATCCTCCTGTCGCAGCCTCCTGAGTAGCTGGCATTACAGGTGTGCGGACCATGTTGGCTCTGATAGACCGTACATTACGCATGTGTGCATGTACACACATACGTGCACACATCATAAGTACTCACAAATATGCAAGTCTCTTTCTTTTACATATTAAACACCAAACCTTCCAGTTCCAATTCATACTCACAGGCTTCCCTTGGTCCTGTTTGAGAGCCTTGGCTCTCAGCACCGTCTGTATGTACTTACTCATTCCCTCAAATCTACCACGCACAGAAGGCCTTTGAGAGTCGCTGCACCCATACCATGGAGAAAAATGAAGTAGGCTTCGAAAGGCTTCCCTCTGTGCCCTCTGTATTCTATGTATGGCTCTTTTTTTTCCCCCATGTGTGTCTCTCAGATTGAAAAAAAGAAAGAAAACAGTTCCATATTTATTTAAAAATCTTATAAGCAGAGGCTTGTTACGGCACTTTACCTTCCGAGAACAGACGGGCTAGTCAGGAGCAGCAGCCTCCGCCCAGACTCCTCTGCGAGGATGGAGTGTTCTGGTGGGTGGGCCGCGGGGCCTGAGAGCCCGCCTGACACAGTGCATGCCTTTATTTTAAAGTAAACACAGAACTGTTTTTCTGCCTTTTCAACGAAAAGAGAAATAAAACTACTGAACCTTGGAACTTGATTCAGAGGGAGAAGAGAGAAAAATTTTTAAAAATTTTCATTCAGTTTAAAAATGACTTCAAATTTAAATTTGAAAAATTGTTCAATTCTTAAACTGAGGGTGGTAGATTTGAGGGAATGAGTAACTATATACAGGGAGGTCAAGGGACAGAGGAGAAAGGCAGTGTGATTCTGTAAGCTGGTAGGGAGGTCATTTAAGACATAACTACAGACCACAGTGCCTTGAGTAGGCTGTGTGGTAGAAATGGCTAAACCAATCCTGCATAGCCAGTTAGTTATTTTTATGAACCTGGTAAGCCACTGCGACCAACTATTTCAAACTCATGAAATGCTCACAATATTAGATTCTGAGAATTGCTTTCTTGTTCCCGAAACTGAAGATTATTAGTATTTTTTTCTCATCATAAAAGGAATATAAAATTTGGTCATGTGTGTTTTACTACAATTTAAATAAGAAGCAGGAGAAATATAAGAAGTAAAAAGCAATACATCTAAAATTAAAAATATCATTGGTATTTTTTATTATTATTTCATGCTTATTATAAAAAAGGAAACGAAAATATTCTGAGCGTTTAGTGTGTATCAGACATTGTTTTGAATTTCCTCCCTCTGTGTATTTGTTTGTGTAAAAATTTGTATGTACATACACATGCAAGTTCTCCTTGATTTATGGAATTATGTCTGGATAAATCCATCGTTCAGTTGAAAATGTCATAAATTGAAAATGCATTTAATTCTAAGCAGTATACTGATATGTCATTCCCCTTGTGATCTGGTGGCTGACTGGCAGCTGTGGTTCTCATCCCTGCCCAAGATCTTGAAAGAAGATTGGACCACATGTCACTAGCCTAGGAAAAGATCCCAATTCAAAATTTGAAATATGATTTCTACTTCGTATGTATCACTCTCCCACCGCAGTAAAGTTGAAAAGTCCCAGTCTGAGGCAACATAAATTGGGGACTGTCTAAACATGTACTCATTTAATGTCCTCCATACTATGAGGGAGATCTGTTGCTATCCCCCTTGTTGAGGAAACAGAACAGTTAGATAGCTTGCCCAGGACCATGCTGTTGGGTTGCAGAGCTGGGATTTAACTAGGGCCTCCTAATGCCAGAGCCGTGCCCAGAACCTCTATACATGCTGCCTTCCAGTGAAGGGGAAGTTAAAATAACCTGAAATTCTGTAATTCAGTCTTGCCACCTATTCATAATTTGTTAAAGATTTGTTAAGATTATTTTTTTCATATAATCATGTTGGTGTATATGTATGCCCCCCCAATCCCCAAAGGGAACTTGTTATACATATTGCTTTGTAACTTTTTCCTACCGTTTCCACATCATGGAAACGAGGTCTTTTTTTTTTTTTTTTAGTTGTAGATGGACATAATACCTTTGTTTTATTTTTTTATGGTGCTGAGGTTGAACTGAGTGCCTCACATGTGACAGGAAAATGCGCTACTACTGAGCTACAACCCCAGCCCCTAGGTCTTTTTTTTTAGTTGTCAATGGACCTTTATTTTATTTATTGATACATGGTGCTGAGAATTGAACCCAGTGTCTCACACATGCTAGGAAAGCACTCTGCCACTAAACCACAATCCCAACCCCCTGGATCATTTTTAATGCTGCAATAATAGAGTTTTTGTTTTTGTAAGAATGTACCCACAGTTTAACCACAGCCTTTTCTACTTATTTATTATTCTAAGCAACACTTTTTGTTGAATTCTTGTAAAGATACCTTTGTGCTTCTGTTCTTTTCCTTTTTTATAATATTTATTTTTTAGTTGTAGTTTGAGGATCGAACCTAGGGCCTCACATGTGCTAAGAGAGTGCTCTACTGCTGAACCACAACCCCAGCCCCTGTCCTTTTCTTAGGGCAGATTCCTAGGCAGGCAGTTGCCAGGTCAGAGGGCAGGTGTGTTTCCAGGTTATTAATGTCTGCTTT